AAATGAATTACCTATAAAATTTCAGATATCATCCCCTCTACTATAAAAGAGAGGATGAGAAAACACTATTCATTTTTGGTACCATGCTTTCACACTTGAACTGGTTTGAAATATTGCCTCTTCTCTTACCTTCAATTTTGCACTGTTGATGAACCAGTTTACTACTGTTGTGCACTGTTCACAAGTACAAATAATTTTTGCACCAGTGATTTGTTCATTTTCCAAACCCTAGTAGACTCCCCAAAAACTTCTCCCAATTCTTGAGACTCTCCATTCTTTTGTTCGTTCTTTTAAGAGAACAAACCTAAAGAACCTAAATTATGATCCTTTTGTATTCTTGCTGTGTGTTTTTTGTGCGATATCTTCGGGTTTGTTCAGTTGTTCTGTTAAATTTGCAGTTTTGTTTCCTTTTCTTTTTCAATCCTTTCTATTCTAGTTAATATTTATTATTAAGAGCTTTCGAAGTGTTTAATTTTATAAGTTTCATTTGTTTCCAAAATGTGTAATGAGAGTGTCCTTTTTGATCAAATTGTCAAGTGGGATAATAGTCACATATTCGAATTCTATAAATCTTAAGACCATGGGGTGGATTTATAAGCCTAATGGGGGTACAAATATACATTTTTATTAACAGAATAATCTCTTAACCATACTTTTCATTTGATTTGAAGTATTTGGAATACAAATGTTAAATTTAGAGTCTTTCCGCCCATTTTGTTTTTTGGACAATTCATTAGCTTTCCTCAGGTTGGTTTGGATAGACATCCCTATCGTAACTCCACACACATCCCTCCCCAAAAAAGGGAACTACTCGAAAGAGATAGAAGGGGGAAATTGACCATCTAAGAAATTATTGTTTCAACATTGCTTTGAATTCAGATCTACAAAGACGAGTTTTATGTATATCTCGTATGAACAATCAGTATATGTTTCTTATCCCCCATCTGAAAATACGAAAAGAAAATGAAGGCTGTTAAGACTCAGAATTGTTTCATCGTGGGATTTTTATGTTCAGCTTTTTTCGTCTCACTTCAATACGATATAATGTAGAGGGTTAGAACAAGTTGGATGAAGTGGAGCATTCTAGGTATATTCTATGTGATCATAAGATGCCATTAGAACAAAAAGGTAAATTCTACAGAGCTGATTAGATCAGCTATACTATAATTGACATGGGTAAAGAATTTGTTTTCGTCTAATACTATGATTGACCGAACGGCCTGGAGGAATAGCCATGTAACCAATCTTTAAATTTACAGGAAATATGGCATACTTTGTTATTGTGTTCTATTTGTTGGATGTGTTTATAATTTTTTTTAAACTTAAATTTTCTAGAACTTAATATTGTAGAATGTTAGTGTTATGTATGGATCTTAAGATTGTTGAATCAGTAAGGGTATTTTGAGTTATTTTATTTGACAGACTTATGTAAAAATAAATTATTTTGATAGTAACCCTCTCTAGGTCAAAAAAAGCAACCCCAAACATGCATTATATGTTTTTGTGTTCAAGTCAATTATAGTTGAAGAATGTGGTGGCATCTGGAGTTCTTTACCGGTCTGAGATGGTAAAAATATTCCTGCAAAAAGGTTTAGCACAATTGAATGTGTTTTTAGTTGATAATGATTTCTATTTTCTCTTTTGAGAGGTCGTTTTTTTTTTATTTTTTTATTTTTTTTTTTAAGGGATTTTAAAGTTTTAGACGTTTTGCTATTCTTTGAGGTGTAAACGTTTCTCTTCTGTAGAGCATGGATAGCATTAGCTAATTGCCACAAATAATTAATGTGTAACTTTAATCATTTCAAGTGTCTATTTTTTCACTTTTTTCTTTCTTGTTGATATTGATGGAAATCAATACATTTCAGGCATTGATGAATGGTCAGGAAAGCAAATTCACAGTCACAACTATAGCATACCAAAGCCTTTCCTAGATCAAGTATGTATCAAGTGCAATGTTTTCCTTTCTTGTTAGAAAATTCAAGTCAAATTTGAAGTGGAATCATTGTTTGGATATTATATCACTTCGTAGAGGCCGAAACAATGTGAAGAATGTAGAATCAGAGATCTGGCCTTTCTTATAAACTCAGCATAATTCATTCCATTTTGATGCTGTGTACTTATTTCCTTCTATTGTTTAACATACAACACTCTTAACATGTATATTCAGCATTATCTTAAAAATTACACAGCCCGTGCAATTGTACACAGAATGCACGGGCATAGACTAGTACCATTAAAAATTTCATATCTTACATCTCTAGTGATATAAAACAGTTTAAAAACGATTGAGGAAATCTCTAATCCTTTCAACTGAAATCTTTCCATTACCCTATCTAAAACACTCGATCACACAAAGAATATCAAACAAAATTCTAATTTCAACAACTGCCACATGAATTACCTATAAAATTTCATTAATAATACTATATTGAAGCAAAAAATTGCAAAACCGGAAATTGACCTTGGAAGGAGCGGGAGAAAGTTGGTCCCAGGCTAATTTGGGGCGCTTGTTTGGACGTCGGTCCATTTGAGAACACAGAAATTCAGCCATGTACTCCATATCTCCATTACAAATCCATTAATCGAAATATGGATAGCGTAATTGTGAATCTTATTTTTGTATCTGAAAATGTGATACCCTGAGCTTGAGATTTTAATTCAATTAAAGTATTTTTTTTTTAACCGTTATGCAACTATTAGTCATTTTTTAATTCTTTTCCCGTAGAGCAAAAAATTAATTATTAAAATTCCTATCAAACAAATACTATATGTATAATTTTTCAATTCAAAGCTATTGGGAAATTTCCATTGGAGGTTTACCGAGATAATTTAATCAAAAGTGATTGAACTTAGCTATAAATTACTACTTGCTCTTCAGTGTTTAAAAAATTACTACTTGTTTATCAAACTTTAAAAGGTTATTTGTTACTTATCTAAATTTAAACAAAGTTATTCGTTGCTTACTGAATTTTGCTAGAGGTAACAACGATAGAAATAATATGAGTGATGGATGAGTAACTTCTTTTAAATTTGGATGAGTAATGAGCAATGTTCCAAATTTCGGTAAGCAAGTGATAACTTATAACAAAATTCAATGAGTAAAGTGTAATTTTTTAAATTTTCGATAAGCAAGTAATAACTAATAACAAATTTCAATGAGAATGATTAAATTAACTCTAAGGTTTACCTAACATAAATTTGTCACTCAATTTGTCTTGATTTTCGTTTAAAACTTATACTATAATATTATTTTAACCATTCTTCTATAGTCAATCAAAATAGGTCGTTTCATTGAC